TGTCACCTTACATTATGGTCTGAGAATAATGAACTGATTCAACACCCAACACACCCAATGTAACCTATTTAATACAGCTTAACAGAAACTGTCAATGTCACCCACCAGCTCGTGGACTATAGCATAGTAATTTATGATCGTAGACATTTTGAGGTGCACGGCGAGTCGCCCTATTCATACGCTGTAGTTCTGCATTTGAGTTTATGGTCTTATATGCATTGGTGCATGAATCTTAATGTTGAAGCGGGGGAAATGATGAAGGGGGATCAAGGACAAAATGAAAATGAAGAGAGAAAGACGGGAGGAGAGTGGAAGAGAGAAGCAGAGGGTTAGAGATGGCGGTGGTGTTTCAGAATGTGAATCAGGGGTCTTTGCGGTGACAGGGGCCTTAAGGCTGCATGACACCTGACATGTTTCATCTCCAGCCGTGTCACGTTCCCCCCCGCCACAGTCCTCGAGCGGTGGAATGCCGCGGCAACCCACACAGAAATAGAAAGGACAATGTGCGGCAAATAAAGGAATTATACAAAACCAGAGGCCTCGACATGGGCTGTGTGTGCGCGAGGATAGACTGGAAAGCAGGCGTTTTGCCTCGGATCTGTCCGTATCACTGATGCAAAGACGACCCCAAATCCATTACAAGCCAATTATATGTGCTGGGCCGGGGCCGGGGCTGGGCACTCACTCGTGAACTGCAGTGCTTAATCCACAAAGAGGAACTAATGGGAAATTTGAAAATAGAATCCACACTTGAGTAACTTTGGAGGGATTTGGTTGGATTAATGAACTGTCAGCTTCACTGTCAACATGCTGGAGAGTGCAATCCTTTACCAGCCTTTGCTAGTCTCTTTCTAGTCTCCGTCTTTCTAGTCTCTCTACGTCTCTCTCGTACACGCGAGTCTTCAAATTGACATATTCTTTTACTCATGAGCAGGGTGCCAACAGGAGTGAAAGTGACGGGTATTCCACCTGCGTATAATCTGTCGGGGCTAATGTTTCCTTGCTTTTAACTGTCTGTACAGCTCATCCATCATATGCACGTAGACAAAGGCACACACACACACGCACACACATAAATAGGACAGACCACTGTTCCCTCATGAGTGAAGAGCCTAAATGAGCTTCCCCTCCCGGGGCAAAGGTAGCGTCTGCTTCAGTCCGGGGGGGACACACGCCGCAATCACAGGAGCTGTAGTTGTCACACTCCGCGACTTTAAAGGCGGCGGCCGAGGAGGGGAGAAGAGCGCTCAAAGCGGGAGGAAGAGAGGTAAAAATGCGACAAAGAGTGGCTCGCATTTGGTTGACAGCTACGCTCTCAAACAGATGGCAAAAACACTTCAAGGGAAGGAGCCGACGGAGGGCCGACACAACTGAGCCAGCAGGAGATCGTGACAAGGACGCGCGGTGAAATGATTGAAACACAGATACTTAGTCAAACAGATCCAATCCCAAGCTGCGGCTGTCGCATTGTTGTGGAGAGTCTTGATAGAAAATAGCCCATGCAGTATCTTGCAACATGAATGATGGTGAGATATAAAACAGCAAGAAGTTGATACAATGTTAGAGGATAAATAAAAAATAGAAGACTGAACAAAAAACTTCTACTGATGATCTCATTTAAAAAATACAGAATAAACAGGTAAAACCACTCAATATGGTGGTATAATACGCTTCATTTATACGGCACCTTTTTATGACATAAAACGCAGCTCAAAGTGCTTCACCAGAGCAACAAATCAATAACACAGGTATTTAAAAACACACAGCTGTAGGCCCTGTGGCTAACCTGAGGCATGAATGTGTAATCATGTTGTACACCTGTTTCTGTGGGACTACCAAACATTACCACACACACACACACACACACCCTCCCTTTAAACTGGACACATACACCTGAATTATGGATGAGGGTGGGCTGAGAGGAATGACCGGCTGGGATGAGGTATAGTTTTTTGTTTGATCACACCAAGATCGACTCTACGGAGCAGTTGGTGCCTACATATCCACCTGGTTCATCACAGAGTTTAATCGCTTTTAGCTCCGTCTTTGCGCTTTGATCCGCTTTGTTTGATGTGATGATGATTTGAGGATGGAATTTCTTCATCATTTCTGTGAAGCAGTAAAAATGAATTCCTCCAGATCCAGTTCAGTATTGGAGTCAGAGGAATATTCTACAGTATATATATATGCATTTTTATTTTTATTTTATTAACTGTACTTGCAGGTTTGGGTATCAGAACTCTCAAACACTCACGAGGCAGTGGATGGACCTCGGTGTGGTACTTTTGGTTATAGCCACAGTCCAGGGGAGTAATGCAACCGTCATGTCACTGCCTTCTTCTTCCTTTTACTCGCATTGGCGTTTTTTTTTTTTAGCACAGGATGCTGGAACAATAAGTAGCAAAGCCTGGCAGCCGGCTGCACCAAAACAACAGCGCTGTGCTGGAGGAATGTTGCACGGTTGGTTTTGCTGCAGGAGCTGTCCGTCTGCCTGAGAAGAACAGAGCGGAGCTCGCATACAAACGGCTCCTTAAAGACAAAGAAAATACCTTCAGCGCCAACTGTAGTCCTGTCCCTCGGGAGCACAGCGTAGTAACACTGCAAATAAAAGCTCATTCACTTTCTGTCGAATTCTGTCGCCGGCACCGTTCAGTGCTGAGGCACAAGAAAGCATGTCTCTCACACACACACACACACACACACACACACACACACCAGATAAACTGAAGGGGGAAAAAAACAACAGCAACAAAAGATCAGTATTTTATTGTGTGCTAGGGACGACTCGCAGGAACAATTGATTTTTCTTAGACATAACCGACTGTATTGGAATAATTCACAATTGTCTGGACAGCCACGGTGGAGCATAACTGCAGTCGAACCTTTTTTTAAATGTCCATAAGGAATGCAGCTTGAACACTCACATCACCTCTCCTTCATTATCCTCCACCATAAAAATCCTCCCCTCACTCTATTCAAAGTTTTCTTTTCTTTTCCTCTCTATAGCTTTTCTTCTTCAGCCAATCTTGTGTCACTGGCCGCTCTTCTCCTCATCTACATTTTCTCTATTCTCCAACCTTCGTAGTCCACCTCAGACCCCCATGATCACCTCTCCATCCCACTCTTTGTCATCCTCTTCCTGTTCCCATCCTCTTAAAGCTGTGTGAGTGGGTGTGCAGATAGCTCTCTTGCCCTCCGCCGATACTGTTTCACTCGCCTCACATCTGGACTGCATCTGGCTGTACACTATAGGGAGTGCAGCATGGCTTCTGTCCAATTAGACTGTCAGTCCATCACTACATCCATAACTAGAGAGAAGGGGCAGAGCAGAAGGAAGGGTTTTGGTGTGTGTGAGAGCGAGATCCCATTTATGTTTCTGTGCGTGTGTTTTTTACATCACGGCTCTATTAAAGCAATAGGAAATGTGTAGTGATAAGACACAGAGCCCGCTGCATCCACACAACAAAGCTACATCCTAGTCTTTGTTATTGATTTTTCCCCAGACATGATCCATGTTTTTCCATTTACTTGTCAGATTTTATGTTCTCAGACACAATACTGATCTCATAAAAGACGTTCTTAGATCCGATCGCCACCAGCTAACACAAACGTAGCGGCCCATCCCTGCACGAAGCTGCAGAGCGGCGCGACAGTGTACAGCAGCCGTGGGCCTTTTCTCTGCACTTGTAGATGGTGTGGCCCAGGAGGTGATGAGTGAGTGTTTAATGTGGATGAGAGCAGGCGGCACCGCTGATTGACTCCTTTTTTCACTCGCTAACAAAGACGAGTAGCTGACGTTTCCCACCCAAACGAAGTTAAAAGTGAGTGCAGCTTTTTTGTTTATTCCAACCTTTTCCGATGTAGCAGACAAATGGAACCGCATTTATGTCAATAAGATGGCTTTTAAAAGCCTGACTGTGTGCGATGGGAAGCTTTGTATGTCTCGAGCCTCTCAGCCCGGATGCATATAGCACAGCGGCTGATATTTGCACTGCGATGACAGTAGAAAAACAAGCAAGTCAATTTGTCTGGGAGTTAGTCCAGTGCAGGGTAAAGGCAAAGCCTGATTGATGCAGTTATTACTGCTTCTGGGCTGGAAGCAGCATGCTTGAAACCTTGAAATCAGATCAGATATACAGTGTGAGTGGCGAAAAACATAATGTAGTGAGTGTATTTGTTTTCTATTTCTTGGGAATAAAAAAACAAAATGAAGACAAACCGAACATGTGGTTTACTACCTTTCGCAGAGGTTATGTTTTCAGTTCGGTCTGTTTGTCAGCAGGATTATTGAAAAACTTTATGAAATGTGGTGAACGGTTGTAGAACGAGCGACGCATGAACCCATCAAATGTTTTTGCACATCCGAATCATGTGACGGATACGCGGGTTATTTTCCCTTTCGTTGACATCGTGAGATTAGGGACGTCCTCGGCAGACATCTGCACTCGCCGAGTGCCCCTCTGGTCGTCTTGCGTGGTCGGAGCGCTTTCGGAAGTTTCCACCCCCGTCTGGCTCTCTGGTATTCAAGGGAGGATGCATCGCCCTGCTCTCACTGAAGTTTCCTGACATGGCTCCAAAAAAGAGATAAATATGAAATATGAGAGCTTTCAGTACTGCTTAGGCCCGCAAAATAAGTCAATTAGTCACGGCAGGCAGCAGTCAAATGGAGATTCTGCATGATGGTCTTAACAAGGGCCACATAGGACAAGCGTCCGACAGCTCGTTAAATTAATCCTTTGGGTCTGCTGCAAGTGGAATGAGGCATGTGTCTGTGTGACCTGCTTATGTCCTCCACATTACACACACACACACACATACGCTCTCACACAGCAGACTCTGAGCTTTAAATGGACTGTGTAAAATATTTGTGATCAAAGTTTCTTTCTGCCCCCATGGTTGCTCAGATTACATGAAAACCCCTGCCAGCAGGCAACATGGGAGTCTCTCTCTCTCTCTCTCTCTCTCTCTCTCTCTCTCTCTCTCTCTCTGCCTTACTCACTCTGTCCCCTTTTCTCAGTTTCAGTTTTATTTTCCCTGTGATGTTCTATTTTTCTCTCATGCCAGACTCATTACGTCCTATGAAGATAGCCCCCTGCAAACACAAGCGCTCTCAGTATGCAGGATGTAATGAGTATGTTATGTGACGGCTTGATTAAGGGAGCCCCGTGTTTTCTCGCCTGCTTTATGTACGATTCGCAGGACGACACAAAGCGACTTTGACTTTTTCGCAGCGCGTGAGTCAGTAAAATGTGCACGCACGTGTTCCGTGCATGCCCGTAACGATATAGAATAAACACCACTTCCTCCCTCGATGTCCTCACTTCCTTGCCCTTTCCCTCTTTTTTTCAAAAACAAAATGCCAGTGGCACGCCGTTTGCCAACCTCACGTCCCACCTCTGTCATATATCGCAGATCCCATCTGATTTTCCAACCTGCTTTTAACCGCCTTATGAATATCAAAGCCACCAACCTGCTCTATGTTTGAGAAAGGACATTCAGCGGCCCGGGTTAGCGAATGGCTTTATCCAATCCCTCCCTGATCCACCCAGAATATTAGTCTCTGTATACCCTGGCTTGGCAGCAGTATGTGCAGGCTTTCTTCTGCGTATGAACAGAATGTGTGTCTCCTACTTATCGTCGGTCCGGGCCCCACTGGCTAGCAATTTCCTCCTCTATTCTCAATTTCCAACCACAACAGAAGCCTATAAATTGCCCCGGGGAACTATTCTTGACCGCCTCATGTTTTCTGCTTTTTCAAGACACCTTCACTTAAATCACTATCTCACCTTCTTTGACACCTGTGTCTCTGTGGCACAATTTAAACATCCTTCTAGAAATAAGCACCAAACAGCACTGATAACCTCCATATAGGCACACACACACACACACACACACACACACACACACACACACACATTCACACTGTTCTTCAATAGCAGTTTAAACATAATTAGAGCTGGTTTAAAGCCAGGAATTGCTCCAATGCTTAGTATAAATGAATATTTTATCACTCTGTAAAAGAATGCAATAATGCGGGGAAAAACTCTAAAAGAGGAGAGCGAGAGAAGCTCCGCAGTAAATGAACAGGATGAAGATGTGAGACAGGCTATTGAGGCTGGCTAGCAACCATCATTTGTTTTTCCCCGGTGCAGAGATTATCTGGTTGAGTGATAGAGGTGGCCTTGATCAGCCCTCTCCCCGCATACAGCCGTAAATCAGATGTCACGCCGCTGCAGAACCATCAGCCCTTCACTGGCCCGGGACGCACATATTTACCATGGTAAATGGCACCCCTACTCGGTAAACACTCCTGTTTTTCACCGACCGTCAGCATGCAGGAATGGATGATGCATCGTTCGCTGTACATTCTCTGTAATTGCTCACCGGATGATATCTGGCACAAAAAAAAAAACTGACGAGCACTTCTTTGAGTGAAATGTCTCGGAGGCAAAAGATGGTTTGAAAAGTTGGCCCTTTTTTCTGTCTTTCTTTTTAGTTTTACCTTTTCATTTCCCCCTTTTTGATTATAGCTGGCCCTCATTAAGCTGCCAGCATTTTAATTGTACAAATCTATCAAGTCAATCAGAATCAGCTGCGGGTCTTATTTTGTAAAAAGGAGTAAAGGCCTGTCATGATGGAGAGAATGAATCAGTTCACTGAGCAGAGAATGAACCTAGAAAGCTCATTGCGAGGATGGAGGGGAGAGGGAAATATGTTCGCCCATTAATTAATCTAATAGTTTTCATGGGACAAAGAGTGCATATCTCTGCTGTCTGCATAATGAGAGCCTGGAACAAAGTCATTCACTGCATCCCATTTAAAATGATGTGAATGTGGGCTAAAGACCAGGAGACGAGGTGGAATACAAAGCTCTGAATATCAAAAGGCTTTCCATACCCGCACCTCTTGATGCTGTTTATTTAACGGAATGTTCATTAAATACTTTTCATTATTAATCCCTAAACATGTGCTGTGTCGGCTGCAGAAATTAGTGTCGATATTTTTTCCCCCCAAAAAATAAATTGTTCAAGTCAGTTATGAGTTAATCAGTTATGAGTTCTTCATATTGAATATCAACAAATTAATTTCCAGCTGTTTTGATTGGTTGGAATAGCAGCGAGAGAATGGTCCCAGGATTTGAGTGGAGACTAGGGGTGATATCACAGCTCAGTGGCGCAAAACGGTTTGGGAAACAGCCCAGATCTTATTGAATTTTAATTCAATGGATCTGTGATGCGTGTCATACTCGGGGAATGGGAGCAGGAGGCCTTCTGGGCATCGTAATTTACCTTTCCTGCTTTTCCAGAGATTTCGTATGATATCAATTTCATCTTAGGTATTTCATTTCACAGCCACAAGTACACACATGGAGTACAGATCCAGACACAGCGTATCAGCTGTGTGGGTTTCCCTTTCTAGCCACCATTTCTTTTCTGTTGATTTACTGAAATCGAAAGAAAGGGGCAATTAATGCTTGATTAGGTCTTGTAATATTAGATCACTGCACTTCATCTGCTTTTTTTTTTTTTTTTTTTTTACAAATCCACAAAGGTTACGCTATCCTTAAGTAGGCTCTCGGACCCGTAGAGGTAATTATATCACCCACACATGATGTGACATTGTGTATAAGTGGACTGAATGTGGATGTAATTGTTAGAATTGCTGCGTAGATTCTGAAAGGTTTTCAGCCAATTATGCTATTAAATATGTTTACCTTTGCTTTCCGCAATGCAAAGAACAAAGTGTCCAGACAATGAAAGGGGCACACTTGCGATATTCGGTAACTGAAAGATAAAGTTCGTCGCAGTTGTTACCCATTAAGTTAATTTATCTATATTAAGCTTTTAAAGCAAGTAAGGAAATGCTACATTAGATGGCAAACAAGCAACCCAATGAAAGTAACAAGGCGGCAAGATTAAAAAGATGAGTTTAAGGTGAGATATAAGGAAGTGGGGGGAGGTATACGTTTCTCAATAAGGGTCCTAACAGAGATGACTCCCTCACCATCAGTCATCACTCTCTCCGTTCTCACAGCGCTGTCATGAACCAGTACACACCTTGTCATCCTCTCAGAGGAGATGAAAGGTGACATCAGGGGATAATGAGCTCAAACATTTTGCTCACTCGCAATATCAGGACCTGGAATCATGACATCAGGTTTGTCAGTAAGAAATACACATCCGAGGCAGTTTTTAAGTCTGAAAAGGTTTTTTTCGTCAATCCGCTCTCGTGTCATTTATGTCAACACAGAGAAGTAGCGGTATGTCATTTGCATGACAATGACATCTGATGCCTTGACTACAAATATCCTGCCTCGGGGGCAGCGTATAAATGGAAAGACTCTCAGAGAACCTCTCTGTACCCCACCGGACAAACTCTGGAGAAACTCAAATTACCGGTGGATATAATTACCATAAATTACCAGACGCAAATAAAACCACTCAACTATGAATATAACCCACAGTTCAAGACGTTTCAGCAGAACATAGTGGTCGACAGTATCAAATGTAGTACCGAGGTGTAAAGGAACAAAGGACTTTCCATCATCGGCGGCTGGAAGCAGTTCATTCAACACTTTGATCAATAATGTTGTAAAAGTAGGCTTTAACGGAGCCCTAATTAATGGGATTGGGAGGACAGATGAGATATTTGGACTGAATCAAATACCTCTTGGAGAAATGTTGTTTCCGCCTGGAAATGACCTTTCCGAGGGGGTTTGGGGAGGATTAGAGGAGAAAATGAACAGGAGCAGTTACATCCTTGTGGGAGTAGATGAATAAATGATGTGCAACATATTTAGAAAATACTGTATCTTCAAGATCCTACAATGGGAGGACTGGTTGACAGCCCGCCGGGAGCTCTGAAGGGTTGTTTTTGTGTAGTGTGAACAGTCAACTTCACCAGCGATGACATAGCAAACGGGAACGAGGCGATGACCCTCACAGAATCCACACAAAAGACACGGCGCTCATCCACTCGTTGTCAGGTCACACGCCCACGCACGGTCAGCGGTTAAACCACTCTGCGCTCGCTGTGCCGTTGTTTTTTTTCAAACAGGGGTTGAAAAAGAGCAGCAACCAGATGTGATGAGAGATTTTAAAAATCTAATTGTCTCAGTGTGTGTTGGTGTACACACACAATCACAATCTGTGCTGTTTGCTTTACGGACACGGGTGAAGAAACGTTTCTATTATACTTTAGATTGTTCAAGCTTATGTTCAATTCCACTGAATGTGTGCACACAAGAAAATAGAACATGCGCTGTGATCTAACAAACACAATGTGAGAAAAAGTGTGACATCGACAAATAAGGTCGGCCTACACAAAGCGAGTGGTTTGCGTGGACAGGTTGGCCCGGGATGGAGTCAAATTCCCAGCCTGAATTATGGTTTCAGTCTGCTCATGGCTGGGAGTGATTAATGCTGAGATTTAGGAAGGGAACTATGGTCTGGTCAGTAATAAGACCCCATAGGACAATGACCGTTTTAATAATGCCAGAGAGAGGCTGAGCTCTAACTTCTGCAGTTATATCTTCGCCTTTCGAAGAAGTACGGTTTACAGCTTGAGGATTTTTCATACCTCTGACGAGCTCTTTCTAAGCTACATATGTTATCCAGGGAATTGAGGAAAGGTAGTCTGAGAGAGAAGTGCATGTTAACATGAGCCACTATTTTTAGTTTAGAGCTGCATCTTTATGGCAGAGATGTTACACCGAACCTCACTGTGCCTCAGTGTCAAAAGGAATAACCCTACGATGAGTAACATGATTGCAAGTTGTGCAAAACAAATGCGTACATACATTCTGACGGGGAGTTAAGTTTGAGAAATGATCAGTGTACCCGGTGTAGTTTGTACTCGAAAGGCCACATGAGTCAGGAGTGTGTCGCAGGAGCACTGGATAAGAAGTAGCCCCAGTTTGTGCCTTTAATGGACTCTTAGTGTTCATATGTGAAACCTTTGCATCAAAGATTATGTTTGAGTCAGAGAAATAAGTCACGAATATCATTTCGCAATACGGGTTTATGTGGAAATTTCCATAATACTCAAAGATTGCCATATTCAATCTTCTTCTTTGGTCCCTAACAAAAATGGCAAAAAGTGAAATGTGCCCACTCGTCTTGTTCCCATCTTAGCACTAATTAAAAGCTATCTTCATTGCACTATTAATACATCTGTTGCAAACAAATAAAAATAGTGTGTGGTGTTTATAAATTCACTGCCGTGAAAGAGTTCTGGGTCTCGGGTCTTAACTGAGCTACTTGGCTTGTGATGGAGGAGGAGAGGATGTATACCGCTGTCATGTTTCCCTCCTCATCACCGCAACCTAAACACCACATTCCTTCCCGCCGAGAAGCCAAAACAAAGCCCCTTACTTCAGTGGAAAGTGGAGAAAATAAACCGAGACATTCATCTTGCCTCTGACTGTGCCTCTATCTGTTTGGCTTCATATGGACACATGGTACAGAGGCTCTCAGTGCTTTGGACACTGTTCAAAGGGACTTGGGCCCTGAGGTTTTACCGAGGACGGATGACAAACCTGAGATGGCAAGTTGAAAGTCAATCCATCAGTCTGAATGAATCTCTAGCAGCATTTATGTTGACAAGGGAGATCAAATAGTGAGGGGGAAAAGCCTTATTGCAACATGGACAAGGCAGTTCCAGGGAGAACTGCACATACAGGCATTCAACTTCAACATAGCAACAGGGATTTGTCAGAACACATGATGATAAAAACACAGTTGCTTGGATATAGTGCACTCCATAATTTGTAAAGGCCGTGGCACACCAGCATTTAAAGGCATACATGTGGTGTGTTCAAGTGCACCCTTTTGGCTAAGACAAAGGAGACGTGAGGCGACGCAACAGTCAGTCACCAGCTCTTTGATGTCGGGTTTGGTGCGTCTGGGCCTTAAGAATCTAGAAATTAGAAAGACGCTCGGGGAGCTAACTAAAGCTAGTGGCTGGCTAGCATGTTAGCGGTTAGCTCACCAGCTACAGTGGTTAAAAAACGATCCCTGTGCATCGTCATTGCAGTGCGTGAGAGAGCCTCTAGGAACAAATACTGTATTTCATGAAGATGCACAGATTGGTTTCCCTATGTGATTAAGCCTTAATGCAAAAATGACATAAACTTGACATTTATATACTTTTCTTGTCTGGTAAGTTTCCCATTGTTACTGATGCCTGTTAATCACCAAATCCCTTCCACGAAAGAACTATCAAAACACCATACTATTTCTGAATTGTTTGTGTTTTGAGGAGCATGTTCGCTGTGAGGTATGACTTGATACCACAGTAATCTGAGATTTACTGCTTGGGCTATGTCTTGTTCATCCGTCTATCGATTTTTCATTCTCACTTATCCTTTTTTCATGCTTGGCCTAAACCGGAGCACACTGTCCGATAAGCGGGGAACACCCTGCGGAGTACCCTGCGGAGTACCCTGCGGAGTACCTGGAGAATACCTGGCGAGAACGTGGCCTTGCTCTACTCTAGAGGGGGGGGGGAAAGAATATATAACTTTCAATCCAAGGATCAGTCGGATCAATGATCACAAGAACTGATCTTAATCTTGGCAGAGAAAATGAAATGTCTTTAACGCCCCAGCTATTCGAGGTAATGTCAGTCAAACAAAGCGGCGAGGAGGCTCTGTTTGTTCTTTGCCTGTGTACACTATTCATTTATTTATCCGTGCCATTGCTGCTTCATTTCCTTTGTCACATTCAGCCCTGACTGAGGGCCTGCATATTCCAAAGCCAGCCTTCACTCGATAATCTAGGCAGGTGTGCGTTAATCCTTCGGTAAACCGGGAGGTAATTACACTATTTGCCGTATCGACAGACTAGCACACATTGATTTCACACACGCAGCGCTGGAAAAATGGAGAAAGCCACATTATCCTACCCTAACCATGGGAGTCTCCAAAGGGAGGGGGAGGGGGGTGGGGGATCAGCAGAGAAGGAAAGGGTGAACACAGTATAAAGAGAGCTGGAGAAAAACACCAAGAAAAGGAAGTTGGAGTGTGGCATAGTGTGCCGGTGGAAAGCGGAAGAGTGTGGGAGAAAGAAAACGAGTGAGTGAGAGGTAATGAATAGCAAATCAGCTCCTTTATAAAACTCCTGCTTTCAGTGTTCAATCAGAGCAGCCCGGATTGGCAATTTTCCTCCGGCACAATAGAGCAGGCCCAGGAGAACCCTGGCCTCAGTTCAGAGAGGGAGAGAGAGAGAGAGACAAGGAGAGAGATCCTGCCAGCATGCAACCCCGCCAACCCAGCGTTCTGTCAAGTTTGGCAAAAAAAACCCACCAGTACGGACAACAGGAGGTACTCAGTAGTGGCTTGCTATTTGACTCCTCTTCTTCTTTCTTTTTTCATATGTACTCCTTCTCTTCAATGATGCATGAGGTAATGGGAGTGAGCCTGTGAAGGAGCGGCAGATACTCTCCTCGCTGCACTCTCGTTTGCATACAGGAACTCCCCGTTTCCTCCCGTGATAGGCAATAGCCTGAGGGGTGGAGAGAAACGGGAGGAAGAGGGAGGACAATGACTGACAGTGTGTTCACACTGTGCTCTCTGCTGGGTCAATGTTATTTGCATTTTCTACAATCCCAGGAAAACAGAAGTTTGAGCGTCTCGAGCGTCTTTGCTGTGAGTATTCCCCAGTGATGCAGCATATTTGAGCGGTTTACAGCTACAATAAGGGGTTCAAATCAGATGCTTTCGCATTTGATTGGACTGCTTGAAAAAGTGGGCGGGCTTAAGAATGTATAGTGTAGTGTACGGAGCTACAGAGAAAAGCAGCTCCACTCCTTGTCGCTAAAAGTTGCAGATTGATTGAAGGATGGATGTCATATTACTGCTCGAAATTTGTTGGAACCAGCTTTTTGTGAAAAATGTATTCGATTTTGATGTGAAAAAATTAGAAATTAATTGGAAAAAAGGCATTTGTTAAAATGTTATCTCTGCTTTAACTGCTTGGGTGGTTTACCTGTGAGCGCACTCATCTCCTGTCTTTAGATAATGGACGTGCCTTCGTTCATGGGCACTGCTGTATGCAGACCCAGGATGAGAATAATGAGTACAGTATTGAAAGGAATTGGTGTCTGTGAGCTCTATTTGTTTTTACCCCAGAGAGAAATGAAGTTGGGTCACTGCACTGTACAAGTTGTGTATCTCCAGATTGAAAGCAGCTCATATCTCTCTTTGAGCATAAAAGAAAAAAGTTACACTTAGCTAATTAAGTACAGCCTAATAAGACACTTGATCACAGCCGCTAGAGCATTTATGCTATTAATTTTGCCGGGCATAATTTCCACTCCTTTTTAAACTCTGGTGGTTACATAAAAGAGGAGAAACAAAAACGTCCTAATTGCTTCTATAAATTGAGATGAAGTGCTGCACAGTGGGCCAAACGTTTGAATGGCTTTGTTCACTCATCAAAAAGAAACACACACACACACACACACAGATTAGCTGACTTCCAAATACTGTCTTTCACCTACATAAAGCAGATTTCACACGTATCTCCGGGCACGTCGCGCGCTTTTTGTATGGCAAGCGACGTGGCGAGCATCAGAGGCGACTCTCGGGAGAAATAATTACTCTGGACAGTGGTGGGGCTGAATCCAGATAGACTTGGCAGAGCCGCGCGGAAAACCTGCTGCCAGAGTACACAACTCAAACTCGTTGCTAGGCCACCCAGCCCCCTAAAACAGCAACATTTCCACCAGTGTTAAGTCTCCTCCTGCTGGCCAGCAATCTAGTGAGAAAGCTCAGCGGACAAATGCTAATGCTGGCGTCGGCACAGCGTTGGAAACGCCAAACTAGAAAAGAAAGGAATCAACGGGTAATCAAGCAAAAGTGGTGATTGTACTGTCTATTTCTATGAATTCCATCTCTATATTTTAGCTTCTGCTTTTTGCCTCTTTTTTTTGGAGATTTTCTCTTAAAGCTGCAAAGTACCCTCGCTGTGCGTCTTGTTTGACCAGGCTTTTATTCAATTACTTTGCACTCAAAGACAGAAGGAGCACTTCTGACATTTTTGTGGGTTTATTTCCTGGTTGGTTCTGTAGTGATTCCTATCTTGTACTGGACTGAAGCGCTGGTCTTCTAATACAGGTGGAAAGGTACAGACAGCAAGAGGTTATTAAGGGCAGTTTGTTTGGTATCATCCAGTGTTAATTTAGCTATTTGTTCATGACTAATGTCATACTTGTGTACTAATCTGGGTGTTTTAACACAGATATGTATTCACTACCATATGATTCTTGTTGTGTTTCCTTATGCATCTGTGGCTGTGCTCTCCTATCATATAAACAGGTCAAAAAGAGAGTATTTCAGCTTCACAGGTTTTTTTCTCCACTCCACTATCTCTACACATCAGATGTATTTTTACTGGACAACCTTGAATCTCTGAAGAGTGAAAGTACATTTTTGACTAAAAAGTAGGGCTGGGCGATATAGGTCATTTAATATCTCGATAGCCATATATATCACGATACAGCAAATTTTCTTTTAGTTCAAAAATAGTCAATATGAAATAAACATGGTTTTGTATACTCTTGTGTAAATTAAGTACTATTTTCTTCTTTAATTCACTTTATAATAATAACTAATACAACTTTTAGTGCAAAATAGTCAAATGTTTGAGAAATTGTAGTGAGTATGTGCTTGTTTTTATCAATGTAGACAACGTGTAACACGACATCTCGTTATACGATATCGTCACGACACGATTCCATTGAAAGCCAAACTAGTTTCTTCTTGTTTGTTTATGTCTCTGAAATAATGCTTCCTTCAGCTAATATACACTATTCAGATAATAGAAACAGAAATAAGGATAAGGCAGCATGCAAAACAACCCTCAGACATATTGGAAACGTGGCTCTCTGAAGACACTCCCCTTGTGAAACACTTCAATTGGACATCTGAGTTCAGGCAGGAGAGGTTAGAAGAATCCATCGATAGAGTCCGCTGATATTTACTGACCTCAAAGATACAAACGAGTCAAAGTAACAGCCGATTACGGTGGAAGTTTTGTCGCTGTGAGAAGGAAATATTTGCAAGAGCGTGTACAGTGCCGGGCTGAAGGCTATAATCCATTAATGAGTTCTGTTGGCTGTGGGGACGCGAGCTTCCTAATGACGCCGTGAACTGTCCTCACTCACTGCTTGTTATGAATTCCCTGTAAGAATTGGAGCGAGAACCCGGAGACCGAAGGCAACGCAACAAAAGGGTACAGTAGAGATGTTAGAGATGAGACCTCTGGAGGACAGCCTTCACCAGATCTACCAGGCATTGATGCTTTGAGCAATATGGAGGGATTTTTTTTTTTTTTTTGGGGGGGGGGGGGGGGGGTATAGTAAAGAGCAGAAAAATATTGCATCGCTAAGAATACATCATCGGGCTTGGTAAATTTAAAGTATATGCTAAATGTTTACTTCCCATTGGTATTCAGAGCATGAAATGCCTCCAAGACAGATTGGACTTTACCAGAACAAGTCTCTGTGGAGGCGTTCATGTCACTCTAAAAATGTCTATATTGGGGCTGCAACTATTCCTATTGATTAATCTTCTTTTTTTTGATTGATGGTTTAATCTATAGAAAAGTGAAAAATAGTGTCTTTTTTTTGTCCGACCAACAGTCTAAAAACCTGAATAATTCATTTAAAATATTATTAGAAATAGAATAGCAACACATTCTCAGCTCGGGGCTTTTGTTCATTGGTTTCCCTTACGTGCAGTGCGTCCTCATTTATCCGTTGACCACATGTTTAGGCCACATGCTGTGACCCCCTTTCTGCTATCAGCGGGCCCCATATGTATCGCTGCAGGACGGTCACACAGATGGACACAGTGGGGATCCACAGCTGGCCTGGCTGACACAGCCGCCTCGCGTCTCATCAAGCCCCTTGCAGGATGGCAGCACATCACAGAGTCACATCAGGAGGATTTCTGATTTATCCATTAGCAATAAAAAATGATTTAAATGCTAATTTTCCTTAGCCTCTTGTTTGCTCTGGATGTGTGCTTTTCAGACTAATTAGCATCCGGACTTGGTTACCGTTCGCCCATATAAGTCACGTTTTTTAGAGTTACACATCAATAATTTAAAAGGCTACATAATAAAGGCCAATGCCATTATGCTCTCATACACCCAGAGGTAAGCTTCCTGTATATTTGTCTAGTTAGTTTTCATTATTAAAGTAAAGATATATTCATATTACAAAGGACTTTTGCCCTCAAATGAGGTTTGTGTAGTGAATTATTGAGCCCTCCTGGTTTTGCACAACACTGTGGGACTGAAAAATTTAAAAAATATGAACGATTAGGAAAAATAGAAAATATATCAAACTTCCAGCTCTTGTGTGGTGCTGATAACCAAGAGATCCAGTTCCATCTCAAACAGACTGTTTGAAGATCAAAGCTGTGACTTTATCTCCAAACTAAGTTGAAAGCATCCAGAACGAAGGCAGGGAGAGCCGAGCCTCTCTCTACATGCTCCCTGCTTTCCCCAGCCTTCTGTACCAGATTTTGAGCTGGACTTGAACACTAGAACAAATGCCGCTGAATAAATAAATACATGGACTATAAATCTCCAATGCTTCTTTGCAAGCTTCAAATGATCCATAAATCTGTGGCATTTTCTGCACACACAAAAAAAAGACAAAAAAGCCTCATTTGTGCTAATAGAGAGATTATAAGGACACTTAATCACATTGATTGGACATTAGCATTAGCTAAAGCAGATTAAGTGCATAGCTGTCAACTGTATCGTTAGCGGTCGTCAGTCCTATATTACCATAACTGGACAATGAAGCTTTTATGATTAATTAAACACCACTTTTGAATGAAAATAATATTCAGTAATGCCAACTAAATTACAAATGTGATACCTTAATAAATGTGAGCTAAACTGGTGGATTTGTCTCGTGAAAACTACTTAGGGTTCTTTTTCTTCTGACTGACAGATTAAAATAAGAGAGAGAGCCCTTGGAACACCTCGGCAACGAGCCACAGCTTTATTATATCTGATCAAATCTTGTGAGATACTTCTGTATGTAGACCTCAAACACTGACAGTCTAAGGCGGTCTTCATAAAATAGCTGTTTAAAAAGAGACTTTAGTTGACATAAACGATCTTGGTGATTGCCTCACATTAGTTTGAGATGGGTAGCAGGTCGCTTGGTAGCTGGTGAATTGAGGCGACGAAGTCTTCGGGTTAATCACACGATTGTTTTAAGCTCTTCGTCGTAAAGCTCTGAATGGAGACCTGCAGCATTCAGAGGTGTGTGATGTTGCTCATCCTTTCAGTCTATGGAGCTAACATTAACATTTGCTTTAAGCAGCTAAAGTGCAGAGCTGTAAACCGTATCTAGTGGCGCAACGGATCATAAAGCTCACGGTTCGGATCATGGATCGAATCAGCAAAAAATAAATAAAGGGCTCAAATACAGTTTTTAGATACCAATAGCCGATCATTGATGATCCACATTGGCAGATACAGATTCCTTTGTTGTTTGATTATAGCAGTTGATCTAAAAGACTCCTGCCAATTCAAATGATTAAGAAACCTGAGATAGCATTTTTATTGATTCAAATCTTGTCATTAGTAGTTTTAATGATATATTATAAGCCGCTTAGAGCTT